ATATAGAGTCCGTTAAAGAAACTGGAATTGGAACTCATTTGCATCTACTCTAATACTTTGACCTTCTGAAAATGGCTGTCATTATTACTAGTGCTGTGTATTGATACTCTGCTTGGCACAGCACAACATGCAAGATAGATGGTCTCTGCCAGAGCAACTGAAAACAGGGGTTTGGCCAAAAGTTCTCGGTTTAATCATCCCTATCTTCTTCCTTTTCCCTTTTATCAGTTGGCTAAAAATGTTAGCATTTAATCACATACAAGCGTGTTCCCCTTCCCTTTCCAGCCACAAATAATAATAGCCCAATCCACTGGAGTTTTTCCATGACTTTGATGAGAACTGGATTGGATCCAAAATGAAATGGTTTGGCAAGGAACAGAAGACCTTGTAGAAAACAGGGATAGTGGTGAAGGGTTGAAACAGCAGTCCTTATGGCAATTAAAAATGGCATGGCCAACTTTTCATATTTAATCATATTTCACAACAACAGAACTTTTTTCAATTATGTTTCATTAGTGTCATGCAGTTAAGAGAACCGCTGCAACGAAGCAGAAACAGAAATGTCGTTAATAGTTTATGTTTCTATTACAGTAGTACTCAGATCTTAACTGAGATCAGATGTACATACTGCATTCAGGAAAAGAAAACATGCAGCATTGACATTGCTCTTTAATATTTTGTGCCTGCACTGCCCCTTACTTTCTCCCACCTTTTCTTTTTATTCCTGGACCTTTCCCGAACTTGAAAATGATACAGAAAAGGCTTCACAGTGATCTAAGTGTGACAACTGGCTGTTCCAGCTATATGTGTTAGTTCATCAGGATCTATGTAAGGATTTTTTGAATATCTCTCCTAAGTAGGAACTAATCAAAAAATACATAAAATAAACACTTACAAACTGCCAATCACCATGGCTACAATTATCAGCCCTAATTCCCTGTACCTCCATTGCTCATTAATAACGAACCCTCTGTTTGTGGGAATGGCTGATTAACAGCTGTGTTGCACAAGAGTTCCTGAAAGCCACCAGATCGTTTGCATACCGCAAGGGGAGCAAACATTCAAACCAAGTACCCGCCCCGACTCCTGTTAGGGAGGGTGTGGGGTAAAGCCCTCTGAAAAAATTGCTTGGTGGCCAGTTTGGGTGTGCGCCTGTCAGGCTGTGACCGTTCTGGCCCTGGTTCAGCAAAAACTTGGGTTTTCATTGACATTTGAGAGCTATCCCATACAGGCTTAAACCCTTCTTTTTGTACAGCAGTTAATGCAGTACATTAACAAGCTGAAATATGGCAGAGGGCTACAACCCTAATGCGTGCCATACGTTTGATTGGTTTTGCCAAACATTTCCAACCTCTCGAAACTACGATTACAATCAAAAACAAGGCAATTCCCTGCCCCACCAGCCCCCCACCTTGAGCTCATATTTAACACTTCCTTTGTTTTAATCACTCTGAATATCCCCGCCAGCTCTGGAATTTGTTTTGGCTTGTTTTCTAGCACAATCAAAACCTGATGGTTGTGTTCAGCATATAGAGGCCAACACAGGCAACTGAATTTTGTCCTTCAGCAGCTGTTTGATATTGTTTTTTGGTCAAGAACTCTCCAATAAAACATTAACACAAAAAAAGAGAGGCAGAGACGCTAGATAAAGAATAATGATGTATCACAGACTATTCTGGAAGGAGGATATTTTAAATGCTACCTTCTTTTCAGCTCATCACTGAATTTTCAAGTCAGTATCAGCTTTGCATGACAAACATAGGAACTGGTAGAAATGCCACTTAACATCTGGTAGAAGCATCCCACTTCCTAAATTTGAAAAAATAAACGCTTTCCCAGTGGCAGAAAAATATCAAAGTACAAAAAAGTGACAAAAGCTTAAACAACACCTGACATATTCTAATCCTATTGACACACAAATATTCTCAGGAGGTAAACAGTGCCAAATGGTACATTGACACCAGCACCTCCCATTTCTAATTATACACAACTGGATGCATTTTGGAGCTGCCTCAGACTTAATTTTTATCTAGCAGAATTAGTGTAAAATTAATTGGGGACTATTTACAATATGGCTACATTATAGTGCTGCTATAATGTAAAGAAATCATTTAACAGGCATCTATATAATATAATCATGTAAATATTTACCAATCTGTAAATACACCTTAGAGACCATCAACATGCAGAAAGCGAAGAGTAAGCTTTTCGTCAAGAGATATTCTTCTTTAGTTTCTTTTGAGGACACATTTTAGAAATGTGAATTAGTTATCCTGAACTAATTACTAAGCTTTGGAAGAATACGAATTATTCTCTAATTAAAGTTACTTTAAATCTAGCATGTAGTATCATATCTTGGAAATGTCTTTGCAGGATTGCTTTATTTCCTTGCACGAAAATATCTTAGTATAAATGAAAATCAAGTCATTAATATTTTAATAGAGTCATTCTGTTATTGTCTCTTCAATCAAGTTTGTCAAAATAAGTAATGCCGCAGTTACAAGCATGGATTCTAAGATCCAGAGCCAGCCACGCATGGCCTTTATGTGACATTCATCATGTTTCACCAGATTCACCCAATTAGCAGAATTATCATACATAGGAAGATTTCAGTACATTTGGCAGATGGAGACCTCAATCATATGTTTTATAAGGCTCAGATTCTGCATGAAGTCTTTGCAGTGCGGAGCAAGGGGGAAAGAGAACTAGAAAAGGAGACAGAGAAGCCCAGTGCTTGAAGTCCGGTCATCTTTCGTAGGACGTCTCCTGCCAAGTTGGGGGCAGAAGAGAGATGCAAGTACCAATACAGGATCAAGCTCAAAATAAACAGATTCTTTCCTAAAGCCAGTTCCCTTAAAGCAGCACAAAAATGACACTGTGCTGTTCATCCACTTCTCAATTGTCAAGGTACTGGACCTCATCAGGTGCACAGATCTCAGATTAATTCAGTTATTTCTAATATTAACAAAGAAACAAAGGGTATTTTCATGGTATTTGGCCTTTGACTTCAAAGAAAATTCAGTAGAATTCTTTGTGTTTAGATTGTAAAATGACTGCAGAAATCACAGAACATGTGGTTGTTTTCATTTGACTTAATCTGCTAAAGCCGATACTGAAGATTTTGTCAGGAACTGGTGTTGTACAAGGAACAGGAGAAATTAAGGGAATAATTCTCTTAGCCTAAAATGCTGTCATAACCTTGTAATTGTGATAATTCTTAAAATTGTAATTTTTAAGTAAATGGTCACAGTGAATCAAAAAACAAAATAAGAATAGCTTTAAATGCTAGCATGGCTGAATTCACTCTGTGCTGAGGGAAAAGTGACACCTGTGGTTATTTGTGTTTGTAAAGCAGTGGTATTTCCACACCAGAGACACCAGGAATTAATAAGCAGCACTAATAAGCACTTTAAGGGCATCTGGAAGCAAATGTAGGAATAGTACTGCTTTAGCCTCATCAAAAGAAAACTGAAATAGAATAAACAGGCCAGTGCATACAATAACACTGTCACGGACAATACAGGGATTAGTTTTGTACAGATCAAGTGCCAGTCCTATGGGTATACGCAATTCCATGCACTGCTGTTTTTTTGTGTACTTGTGTTTCAGGCTTGTTTGGAGATCTCAAGCATGACTACGGTGCAAAATGCAAAGTCTTAGCCCTAAGTCAGTAAATATCAGTCAGGTGAGACCTGACTGAAGCTGTTGGTGTAAATATGCAGAGACCTGCAAGCAGTAACATGTACTGGTAACACCGCGGTGTGTAGGAGACAGGAAAAGGGAAACAATTGATAATAAATCCATAAGACAATAAACTGTTTTCTTTTCTGTACAGTATGTGCTTGATCACTCCTGCTACGGGCAGGATCACTGCAGTGTCACTGCATGTCAGTGGGCTCAGCATCAACCCGTGAATAGCATTGGGCGCAAGATACGACGGAGGAAAAAGTAGGTTAAAGAATATGCTGCATGATAAAATAACGCATCAATCAGATTGAGCTGAAAACTGTCTTGTTTGTCTAAAACCATTGTTTCAAAGAATGAGAACACAATGTAATGACAGTAACAACTCTTGGCCTGCAAATAACGTTTTATATCTTTGATAACGATGCATAAAGTAAAAAAATGTTGCACGTGACTTTCTTGAAATACCTGCTTTCCCTTAAGCAGGTCCTACTGAAATAACGGCAAATTCATCAGACGGTCAAAAATGGACCCAGACATAATAAGTTCCTTCTCGAATGAAAAGGTGGCCTGAGGGAGGCATTTTTATCCACGGTATATAGACGAGGAAAAGGAGATAATGGTGCTAAAGGAACATTGCTCGCTTAAAAATATGACTGTTCCTGCCCTAAGGTTATCCTACCAATGTTTGAATGATTAGAATTAGGTTTTCCTGTTTTTCCCGTTTTTTCCTGTAGCTGTAGGACAAGGGCAAGCAGAGAAACTGTCTGCATGAATAGCATTGCCAGATGTGCTAGTAAACAAGTGGAAAAATACTTATTCTTTGTAAGTGTATTCCCTAAGCTATTACTTACAGCAGTTATAGGCAATACTTACTTAGAAAGGCATTTAATACGTTTCCTCCTGAACACCTCCCCCACGGCAGTACCCTTGCATGGGCCTAATGCTTAACGTGGGAATAGCCCCAGCGGGGTTAGCGAGGCCACCTTTGACCGTTCTTGACTGCAAATAGAGGCATTTGCTGCTGATCGAGCCCTTTGCTGGACTGGCGTTCCTGTGTTCCCGCACCCGCCAACGGGCCTGATTAAACATGCAATTACAACTCCAGAGTAGCAAGGCAGACCACGACACGGCAGATAAAACCACCAGTCCACCTCCTGCTACAACAGCTCTGGATCTGACTCCTGAGCTTCACCCTGCACAGGAACAGCCTCCACCTCTTTTGTCCCAGCGTGTTCCACCACAAGGCCAGGCAGCGGAGGATGCCTGCGCCCAGGCAGTCCACTACTCAACACTGACACGAAGACGGAGGGTACCTTTCTTTTCCCCTGTAAATGGTACAATGTCTTCTCTGTCTTTGTGCTCAAGCGCTTGCTTCTCCAAGTACGAGAGCAGGCGTTCTCTGTCGAAAGGGCCTGTGGCAGGTTTAGTGGTCTGGTCCTTTTGCCGAAATCCTGCTGGAAGCAAGGCGTTCTGTGAAAGAGAGGGAGGCATGTAAAGGAGATGAAGCAAATTTCATTTCAATGTTGTTGTTTTTTAAGTGGAACCGGTCTTTGCATGTTACTTCACATAATGCTCTTTGGTGACAGCAATAACACACGTTATCTGAATGTAACCATTAAACCCAGTGTATCTTCCAGGCTTCTTGATTGTACCACCTATTAATATTCTTATTAACCATATTTACAATTACAGCACCAAAGAACTGAGCAAGATCAGAGCCCTTTCTGTTACACATATAACCACAGAGTTTGCAGTCCAGGCAAATAGACCAGGATAAGTTTTCTATACATTTTCTTCTCTTCATTTACTCTTTTTCCTCCCCATTTTTCTTTCTCTCTTTTCATTTTTTCAGAAATTCCTTTCATTCTAATGCAGATGTCTCTTGGACTTCAGAAGTGAATGACACACACAGAAAGTAATTGGTGAATTATGTGGACTTCAGCTATTTAGAGTACGCAGGAAGCAAGCAGATGAAGCCCCACTTTAAACATGTAGCTGTGTGGCCATGTGATTGCAGCTGCATCCCATAACATAGGAAGATGCATAAGGCTCCCACATTGCAGTCCAGGAAATCCCAGAAAGGAGTACAGGTACATGGACTTTGCAGTGCATGTGCAGTAAAGCCAACACGTTGAAGATGCCCCAGAGCACTGCAGAAACACTTCATCGTTGGCCAGAACATGCACAGTAAATCTGATCCATGGCAAATATCCAGTGAATCCTGAGCACGTCCAGTGAACTAAGTCACTAGACATTTTATCTGTGCGTGCACTAACGTGTCCAGAGTGCTGCACATATGTAGCTTGACAACAAATGCACCGTGGCTTTTTGTTGTTGTTGTTGTTGAATGTTCTGTATCTCTATTTGAGATGCCAGATACTTGAAAATACCAGAAAATGCACTGTAGAAGTGGTGTAGTGAGGGAAGTGGCAACATGGAGGGAGAGAACAGTAAAGCCCACCCTTCATTTCCAGGTAAATTTGTGCTATAGAACTAGAAGCTATAAATCTATTGTGTTTTTTCAAATTTATTTCGTCTCCAGAGTGAATGGATTTTATCTGCCAGTTTACCTGCCAGTTTTCAAACTCCTACATCAGTTTGGAAGACATTGGGGTAGGTACAGTCAAAATTCCCGACCAGCATGCTTGTGACTGTAGCTTCATTATTGTAGGACTGAGTGGTTCCCAGGCCAGAGATCTTTACATTCTTTGTGAGAGTGTCTTCAAATATCCAAATTATCCTTGCTCTCTAGAAAATGACAGTTGTGTAGCTGAATCTTATTTTTCTTAATCATGCCTAAATATGTTCTCTTCAGCTAAAAATATCTGTGCTGAATGACACAGTCGACAGATTTCAGAAGTTCAAAAGATCTGATCTTCACAAACACACATTATGTTCGTTTGTTTATTGCTGTGCTCAGAAATAGCAGCCATAAAAAGCTTGTCATCATGCTGCAGTGTACAAACATGATTAAAGATTTAGACTGCAGACAAACTCGTGTCTAAATAGACAAGGGATAGAGAAAGGGCACACTTGTACAAAAGCAAGTAGCACATCACAGCAGAATAAACCCAAAATGTGCCTAGCTGAGCTGCTCATCTTTTAGGGTATGCTGCCTCTACTGTAACAGAATGCAAATAAAAAAAGGTGCCATATGTGGCATTTATAATAGACAGCTTCTGAACTGTGACCCTCCCTGGTCCCCATTACTAACCTCAGGATCCAGGTCATCAAGAACATGCTCTAGCTGTTTCAGTTCATCCTCTGAGAGTTTGCTGAGTATTTCATCTTCATTGATATTCTTGTATTTCTCCAACTCTTTTCGGAAGGGCAGAGACATGGCTCCTGCTGAGCTGCTTGACTGATGCTGCTCTTCAAGATTTCAACCATCCAGGAGTTCTGAGCTTCTTGCGGCTTCACTCACTGTTGAGAATAAATCATTATGAGTATCTCCATTTAAATCATTATGAGTATCTCCAGTCCTAAAGAGCCTGCATGCCGAGAGTCACATTTACACTTTATTAATGAAAACAAAGCAGCGAGATGTCCTGGCTCAGCAGAGGGGGTGGGGGAAGCGCTGGGGCTGCCTGTGCAGCGGTAGCCAAGGAATAGCAAGGAAGGGTACGGTACGCTTGGGAACCTCATGGGTGCAGCAGCAAAGAGAAGCTTTGAGACATAGACAAGAAAAAACATTGGGAACTTATCCTTTTCCATACACATAAATCTGTTTTATTTCATTTGCTTAGAAATGGCAGTATCTGCTTGTTCTTTTGGCTAACGGCAGAGGAAAGTGGTAAAATCACAGAAAACAGTCCAACACTGACAAACAAGAAGCAAAATGTTGTGCCTGGAGGTATTCTATCTTATCCCAGCTTTGCTGATGGCTGAAAGCTTACCCACATTGTCTTCGCTGGCTTTTTGGTACATTCTGGTTACCTAAGCAGCTGTAAAGTATGCTGGTTGGTAGTCTTATTTCAAAACTTTTGGCTACAAATGATAGCGCTTATCATCAAAATAATTCTTGCTGTAAATTAGTCTGCTGCATGGGGCACCTGCAGGCATTCAAAACACGGTCATGAAAAAAATATAGACTTAGTATTTCACAAACTCTTTAAGTTTTAAAACTTGAATGTGGTTCCTTGTTAGATGATCCCAACAAGAAAGTGTCATTTGCATGGCCCCAATAGTCACTGTCATATAATTTGTCATATGACGAAGGACTCCCTGTCTTTACTCGCTCTTTTCTTCCTGTCCAGAACCAATTCTAGAGCCAGAATCTGCCTGTAAATGGATGGAGTGAAAGAGAATTAATGTATGATCAGAAACGGCATTAGTTGGAGACTTTAATTGTGCTTCAGGCCCTGCCACGTCTGCCCAGCTTCCACACCAGCAGCAGAGCTCTGCGAATCGCACAGCTGGCTGTGCAGTTTTACAGCTGAGTTTTTGCATTCACAAATTTCAAAGTTATGGTTGATATGGAAACCAGCCAACTGGCACCTACATCTGGCTTATGTATCAAACTCTGATTTCCTTTGGCCAGGTCCTTACTCGTCGTAAGGTAACAAAATCCATGCAGGTTCTGTCACTCTTCATAGGAGCTGGAAGCCTGATCTTTATTTTTCTTTTATTCAAAATCCAAATGAAAATGTTGCATTTACCTAGAGTTTCACTATTAAAATCCTAAATATTAAAACTTATCTCATTTTTCTATTTATCGAAAAGACTAGAAATCAGCAACCTATAGAAGGGGAAGAGAATAAGGAGTAGAATTACAAATTCGAATTCTATGAATACTGCAAGGCATGACAAGCCTTGACTTGAAACACTTAAACATCCTATTCCAAGAAAAAGCATTATTTCCCCTATACGCTCTCATTTTTTTCCTTATTACTGCTCTATTTGTTGTCCTTGTTTTCATAGCATGACATCATTGTCAAGCCATGCCAAATGTCATGGTAGAATTCAACTGTTCTTTAAATTGTGAGTTTCTTTTAGGAAGTTAGTCAGCATCTGATGTGTCACAAAGTTACAGCAGTTTGAAAAATTCTTATATTATCAAAATTCTATCATATGTGATGAATGTGAGAGATATTTTGGCAAAAAAAAAAAAGTCCAAAAGAGCTAATGTTTTTGTGTACTTGGTGCTTAAGGAGAACACTAGTTCTACATATGTTTAATTGATACAATTTGTTACTAAAACTACTTGTTAAATAATGAAAGCTTTTTACTTAAAAGTGATAAGCATATTTGTTTAAACTGTAAAAACAAATTCAGCTGCAGTACAACAGTTTTTGTACTAAGGCATCAGGTGCCTTCTCTAAGTTTCTTTGGATAAACTCATTAAAAACGTAACATTTCAGCTAGCAGTCATTAACTGGGCTGAAAAATTTCTTTGAGCGGATTAGAGCTTTTTAAAACTCTGTTTCACAGTTTAAATGGTTATTTTATTAGAGTTTAATTGCATCCCTGGAAAAGACAGAAATGTAATCTCAAGGTTAGGTTAATTAAGTATTGTTGGAGAAGTAACGCTAAGAGTACGTAACAGTTTCCCTGGCTGAGGTTCAGCACTTCTGTTGTGCGGGACGCCTGGTACCAGCACCTCTCCCTTGGTTGTATGGCGTTGCACAGATTCCCGTCAGGGAACACAGCTAAGAATTGTTTTACTGGTATCAGGAAGGCTGTGTACGTAATGCCTGTTGTGAAAAGGTTTGCAAAGTTAAATCCAGGTGCTAATGGGTAATTACTGCCGAGTATGATTTGTGTGTACCAGTCGGTTTTGATTTCTTTGCGAATTACTTAAGTGCTTAGCCGTAAAGGGAAGACATGCCACAACACACTTTTCAACAGGTGACAGTTTTCAAAATTGTAACTGTTTCCTTTTAATTATTAGGAAGGTAAGAGATTTGACCATGTGCAGCAAGGATACCCAAAGAGAAATATAAACCCAGATATTAAAGATGTATCAGTCTAACTTCTCTCATGGCATGAAGCACTATGTTGGATAATCCTTGTTAGATTAGCGGTGCATGGAAGAGCTTGAAATCACGCTTTTACGTGCATGCATTCATTTGCAACAGAAATTCCCTTGATATTTTCCCTTTCACAACTGAATCTTACTTTTCAGTGGCTGAACAAAAGCAAAAGACACTGCTTAGGGAACTTCTTTATCCACAATCCCTGTAAGTACTAAAGCTTTTCTGGAGCTTGCACCCTGCTGTACAGGCTAGTGAAAGCTCCGCTGAAACGCCTATCGTTCATGTTCCGGCTTTATGCTCTCTGTTGACCTTTCACCACAATCACATTATTGGAAACCAAGGGAACGAGATAAATCTAACAATTCAGCATCGTTCAGTCTGGGATGGAAATGCTGACGTCTTGAGTTCACATACCCTGGAAGTTGCTGTCTAATGTGATGATTATGATCTCCACCTTCCTAACTGGATTTCATCCTGTTAATTTTGTGTGTGTAAACAGGGCCATATGCTGTCTGTGCTGCTTCTTACTGTGGTTTGACTTTTCTGTCACATACTGTACTTTTCACAGATTATAGCCACTGGATTTCCTTTGTTATGATTATTGTATGAAACAAACATACTCCAAACTTTAATCAGTTAAAAAAGCAATCGTAACTAACCAATAGCTCCTAGCTCCTGTTATTTTGAGCACCCAAAAGCAGATCAGATGTCACACAGTAGAAAGGAGATGTCCAATCTAATTGCAGAGGCAATACGCTGTTGAACGTTACACTACATTATGAACACTGAGGGAAGCAGAATGAGGGACCGTGGAGTCTCTCATGGTAAGACTATGGAGTTTCTCTTCAAAGTTACTGGGAAGAGTGAACAAGGAGAGTAAGGAATGGAGGAGCACAAATCCCAGTTGGTTTTTTCCATTTAGTTTCAATACGGAGCATCACAGTTTACCATGGGCTCAAACACCGGCTGTTGAACAGCGAAGCATGCTGTTAGATGCCCAACAGGTGAGATCAGGACGGTGCAGAACTGTTAGGAGGCAGCATTTCTGCTAACCATGTGCTACTTTTAAATCTTTGTGGAGCACATATGTTTCACAGTGAGCTTCAAAGACTCCATTGCTATATTTTTATCTTTGATTCCTTCTAAAGAAAGACATACGTACTTCTGTTTTATTTGGGGCAGCTTTGACCCATGCCTGTCAACATCAGGATTCCAAATATGTTTTCAAAGACAAAAGGGGTGTCATTAGCCAGCCTGCATAAAATCATTATCGCTCTATGTCGTCAACACCTGCTGTGCTATAACTCCTCTATACTTTTCTGTGCTCCATAAGTACTTTTTGGTTATAATCCTTATACACTACTGAAAGGGTTTTCTAGAGTAGCTAGGCTGTAGTTTCTGCTGATACCATAATACTGTCATCATTTTCTACTGCTGATACAGATACTTCTTTCTGAGATGGAATCAGTCCTCTGCTGAATTAATGTTAGATGTCAGAGAGGTCCCTTGAGAAGTGTTGGAACAACCTGAACTATAGAACCTTCTATGCACCAGCAGCTACAAAGGCACATCAGGTCACTTATGCTGTCTAAAACACAGGCTATACACCTAAAAAACCATAATGTCTCTGGGTTCCTGTAGAGAAGAGAATACTGTGATACAGATAATGTGAATTTCTAACTTTTGATAGTGTGTACAAGCTAAGAATGAAGCTGCATGGCAATATGCATTTATTATGTAAAAAGAGATGTGCTGAATGGGAAATAATCCAATAGAGTTCTTTGCATTTTTATAGAAAAAAAGATCTTCTTTTATAATCAGATTTGAGAAACTGTTCTCACTTTTCCTTTCCAAATCATGTTTAGAAAGGAAATCCTGATGCACGATCTATGTTAAACCATCTCCGAATCCACAGTGATGGATATTTGTGTTTTGAAAAGTAGCTGTGAAACTGATCTGTAAATGTGGAAAAATTCTTCTCTTTCTTTAAATAGGCTTAAATAGCTAAACATGGAAATAAGAAACAGGTGGAATAAATCCAAAGTTAAATTGATACTGGACCAAATAAATAGGATTGGGGCCATTATGATTAAGAGCCGTGTTTATGCAACACAAGCAGATGCTCAGTAGAAGGAGGGTGATTGTCCCACAGCGTCCAGGCAATGGAGTGCTCCCACCAATACATTTAATCCAATGCCAGACGGGGGATCTCTCTGCTGTCCAGGAACTGCTATGAAAAATAAGGCTGGGCTGTTGAAAGCTCAAACTTAAAAAAAAAAAAAATTTAGAAATATTCCATTTTTTGACATATAAATAAGGTTCCTTTTTTGTTTTTATACTTAAAAAGGAAGACCAATATGTACTTTCTAACCATGAACATATGGGAGATGTATACTCAGAGATCATGTTTTGTGGTACAAAATTTCTTCTTGGTTTTGAACTAGGAG